AGTTCGCCGCGTCGAACAGCGCCCTGCAGTCTGCGAAGCGAGGACTTCGCCCCAACATCTGCAACATCTCCGCGCCGGTCAGCCGCGTCGCGGGGAATAGCATCGCAGTGAACATCGTCTTCGCAAGCTCCAGCGCGCCCACCGCACCCGCTGCGCCCTGAGCATCGCCTGCCAGAGAGCCCGGGCAGATCCTCGCCAGCTTCTTGCTCGCCCAGCCCACGATCGCCAGCTGCGTCGGCTGTCCGACGTCGACCCTGGCGCCCTCGATCGCGAAGATCGCGCGGCCACTTCGCGACTCGCCATTCGGCCTCGTAGCCCAGGACACGCCCCAGTAGACTCCAAGCCTCAGCTTGCCCCAGGCCCCCGCGCACTCGATCCAGATCCCCACGTCGCCACACGTCCGCAAGAACATCAGCGACTTGTCAGCCTCCGACGAGCAGCCGACCGTCGCCCCGCGCGAACGAAAACGTCGCCGCCGCCTGCGCCGCGCACTAAGACGTTGGCCACTGCATGACCCCAATCAGCCCTCTGAGTTGACTGATCCCCATCAGCGTGCACCGGCCCTCTGGGCGCATCCCCCTCGTCTTCTCGATGCTGATCGGCCTGACCTTGTTCCTGTAGGCCGCGGCGTTCGCCTCAATCTCGTCGCCTTAGATCGATTGCGTGTTCTCCATGCCGCAGAAGACGATGCTGGCCGGAAGCTCCCACTTGCCGAACTTGAACCTCTGGTTGAGCCTCTGCGCCCGATCAGGAAGGCGCCCCCTTGCGCCTGCTCGTTGGCGAGGTCGCCCTCGCGCTCGAAGTTCCCGCCGCCGCCGATGAAGTCGCCCACGCGTAGCCCCGGCACGCCGCCCAACACATTGCGCCGGTGGTTGTCCGCCTGCCAGACCAGGAACGGATCGCCCCCGTCGAGCGACAGGCGGCACGACAGGACACGCCACTTGTCCTGCGCGCGCTGCAGGAAGCCTATCCCTCGAGCATGGCCTCCGCGGTCGTCTGATTCCACTGCCTCGGAGCCCGCGCATCTCCGAACGCGGGCCTCGGCATCTGCCATACCTCGTCGCCCTGCAGGCCCATCATCTTTGCCGGTCGGCGTCGCATGTCCTGCGTCGGCCTGCTGGCAATCCGAACTCCTTGCTACATGATGCCCTTTGCCTGCAGGAATGCACTCTTCGTATCCGACGCCACCATCTTCCAAGCTTCCTGGCACAGGATGAGCAGGGTGAGGAACCGCGTCAGGTCGCGCGAGAGCAGGGCCCACCTTCTCCACGTTGGTGCTGGCCACCTCCTCCAAGTGAAAGCCCCGCGGAATAACTCTCGCGCTTGCCTCTTTCACTCCATCCTTCCTCTCCCACTTCAACACCACTGGGAACCGCATAGGGCGCACCTCTCCAGCGCCCGCCACATCTTCCTTCACTGCCTGCCACGCTTGGTTCTCGAACCATGGCTGCAGCGCCGCGGTTTTCGCCTCGTCGAACTGCCTGCGATCGGCTGCGCTGAGTTTGGCCTCCGCCACCGAGTCCTCTCTCGAAACGCTGGCAAGGTAGACCGCGTCCGCGCCCTCGAACAGTCGCAGCAACTCGTCGCCTTCACTGCCGCTTGCAGCGCTGGCCGCCGTCGCCACGTCGGTCTGCTTCGGTCGCTAGGTAGCGGCCGCAGTCCGCCCAGTCGCCCGGCCGCGTTGACGGCGCCCAGCAACTCATCGCCGTTGTCGGCCGCGTGCTCCTCTGCCTTCCTCTTCTCTGCCGCGGCCCGGCTCGTCGCCTGCGCCATCTCGACGCGTTCTTGACCTGGTCCAGCTGGTGTCGCCTCGCGCCCCAACTCGGGACTCCCCGCGGCCTGCGACGCTTCGCCCCATGTCTGGGCGCAGGGGCTCGGGCGCCGCGGGCGCCTGCATCTCGACCGCCTCGGGCGCGCCTCGGCCGCCGTTGTCGTTCTGCTCGCCCTCGTTCTCGTTGCGCTCGTCCTGCTGCTCGGCCTCGGCCCCCCCCACCTGTCCGGCCGCGCGGGCGCCCTGCCGGTCCATCCCCATGGGGAAGTGCTCGTCCTCGCAGTCCTCCGGCCGACCGATAACTTAGCCCGCGCGGCCTGCGAACTCCGTGGACCCGACGATGTCCTTCAGCTTCTCTAGCACTCGTTCGGCCGTTGACAACGGTAGCCCATGGCATTCGCCCCCCCCCCCCCCCCTCTCTTTGCCGTCGCTCTCCCGGCAAGCCGGGTCGCAACAGCTTGCGCGTCGTCCGCGCGAGCGCGCAGCCACGCCCGCAACGCAGCGCTGACTGTCTGAGCTCGTCGGGGCCATCCGCGCACTCGACCCGCGCGGCCATCGCAAGCCCCGCCCAGTAACTCTCGATGAGGTCGTTCTCGCCTTTGTCGCGCCTCCTGGCGCAGACCCGCTCGCCGATCTAGAACTCTCGAGAGGGGCCATCTCTTGGACGCCAACGCCTCTCGAACTGCTCTCGCCACGCGCGCCGCCAGAAAAGCCTCGCCTCCGTCGCGCCCGCGCGCCAGGTTGCGGTGGAACTCCTCGCCGCGGTCGCCGAGGTCGCCCGCTGTTGAGGGCTCGTCCGCCAGGCTGCCCAAGTTCTCGGGCCGCCTTCCCAGCGCCCGCTGCGACGGCGTGAAGCCCTGCACGTTGTCAGCTGGTTGCGCGCGTAGCGCATCACGCGCGCTGCAAGCTTCGGGCCGCCCCCAAGATGACCCTCGCAATATCTCGCCATCCGCCCTCGTCGCGCTTGGTGATTCCGCTCGAGTCTGCCGAGCCGATGGCGAGCATCTATCGGGATCAGCTGCAGCTTGATCTGCCGACCTCCGCACCACTCCACGAACTCGCCACTCTCGCGCGCGCCGCCCAGGCCCGCTCGCATCTCGGCTGGCGCCCCGACCCAATTGATCCAGCGCTTCTCGAGCGCCTTGATCTCCGCGCTAGCCTTCTCGCCCTTCGCCGCCGCATCGACCTCGAACCTTAAGCTCTCGCACATGGCGGTAAATGTCCTACTTGCGCGCGCCCTTCCACGCCATATGGGCCGCGTTGATATCCACGGCGCCGTTGAAACTTCGGCCCCGCGGAACTCGGGCGACTCGCGCTGACTTCGGCCTCTGCCGCTTGAGGCATGTCTCACATATCAATATCCTCGCACAGCTGATCAACCGGTCGTCCGCGCCCATCTCCGCCAATGCTGCTGCCGACGCCTCCCTCGAGGGATGACCTATCTGGATGTGGACCTTCTCTACCCACTTGACCTCTTCGAGGTTGAAATCTTCCAGCAGCGCTTCCTTGCACTCGGTATTGTAGAGGTCCTCCTGGGCCATCTCTTCCGCCACGTAGCTGGCCTATCTGCGGGCAGTCCACGATGCAGACCGCCGCCTGGAATGCCATCTTCCTCGGGCAGTTCCCACGCCGCGCGCGTTGTGTCAACCCTCGAAACTCACGCGCTTCTCCTTGCAGTTGCATGTCTTCCAGAGTCACTCGAACATCTTGAGTTTCGTTGGTCTTGCGTTGGTCGGCTTCTTGATCAGACCGAGCCTTCGCCCCGCCAAGTCTGGCGCCGTGAGTCCGCGGGCGCGCTGGTCCACGAACGCATCGCAGCCCGCCGCGCCGCCCCACGCTCCAGTTTCCCGAGGCGTCGCGTACCGAGGGCGCCGCAGATGCGCGCGCCCCTCCGCCTGCTGCTGCGCCTCGTAGATCCCCCGACGGAACTTCAGGAACTCGCGCACGCTCTCCCCGTCGTTGTTGTCGGAACTCGTTGCTCTCGTCTGCTTCCGCCAGCGCGCCCATCGCACAAGCGCACTGCGGTGCAATCCACACTACTTCGGGCCTCTTCTTCATCAGCTCCTGCAGAAGTCCGTCTCTTCCTCGCGCTCCACCTTGCGGTCGCCGTCGGCGGCCGCGCCAATAGAAATCGACCCCTCGTTTGCTGCTAGCAAGTCGGGCGGGAAGCTGAATAGATCGATGATCACGCGCCCTTTCTCGTTTGCCCCGAAGTCGATCCACTCCGACGGCCGCCCGTCTAGATGCATCGCCTTCTTCTTGCGGCAGTCGGCCGCCATGCCCCGCCCCTAAAAACACGGCCTCGCCAACAGCAGAGACACTCGCCCTGGCGCGAGGTGAGCCGACGTCTGCCTCACTCGACCTCCCTACCCAAACCGGGAAGCCCACCTGCTGTTTCGCCGTCGCGCCTTGCGGCACCATGCCGCATTGATCTCGGCGGAGAAGCACATCACCTGGAGCCCCTCGCGCTCCGCGGGACACATCACTGGTTTTATTGCTCCACTTTGGCCGACACCTTCGCCCGTAGCCAAGTTCGCATCTCCCATCGTCGCCGTCTGGGGGCTCGGCGTAATCTCCGCCGCCGCCGCGTCGCCGCAGATATCGCACAACGTCTTCGCGTCTCCTGGTCCATCGGCCGCTACGCCATCTCTTCGTCGCTTGAACCGTTGTCCGCGCTGCTGCGTAGCTCCTGCCGCCATCGCATTAGGCGAGCCGTCTGGGCGTCGCCCACCCCTGGCTCTACCGCTTCCGCTCAGCCGCCGCATCTGCCCTTCGCCTTCCCTTTGCTCGAGCTCCCGCGTGACCTGCCGCATTCCGAGTTTCGCTGGTCCTCGTCCTTTCGGTGGCCGCATGTTGCCGGCCCGCGGTGGTGGCAGTCCTTGTCAGTCGCCCATTGCCGCCACCGCAATGTAAAATCCTCTCGCCGTCGCCAGTTCGCCCATCTTCGCTCTGGCCCCCGCGCAATTCGCAAACGCCTCCTCCGTCGCTTCGCGCGCGTCCTCCAGCTCCTCTGGGATCGGCCCCTCGTCGTCCCAATACCAGTCATCGCCCTCGTCGTACAGGTCCTCCGCGGCGTCGCCCGTGTACCACTGAACTCTCGTCGTCGTCCTCTCCTGCCCAATAGCTGTCGCAACCGTCGTAGCTTTTGCCGCGGCACGTGTTCGCCACTCGCTCGATATCCTTCTCGCGCGCCACACCGTCGCCGCCGATCCGTCGTCGCCGTCACAACCTGCACCGTGAGCTCGTTGTTGCACAACGTCTTGAGATTCGGAATCTGCCATCGTGGAATCGCCGATCTCGCCATCACGCGCCGGCCCGCCAGCAGGCTCGGCAGGCCCAGCCCCGCTTCGCGCAGCTTCGACAGCTCCTGGCCGTGCCGAAGCACGCGCGCATTCACAGCCTCCTTCGGCAAACTCGAAAACTCTCCAAAGAACGCGTCACCTCTTACCGGGAACTCCACCTCTTGCGCATATCTATACAGCGCGTCCAGCTCACCAAATATATCATCGAACGCCTCTTTCGCGCCCATCCTCTCGAAGCCGATGCTCTCGCAGGCGCCCCAAGCATCGCCCTGCAACGCCTGCAATGGGAGGCGCGCGCCCTCACTCACCACCGCGTCGCCTCGGCGGTGACACAGTCGCTGGAACACCGTCGTTTTTCCACTGAAGATGTGGCACGCGTCGTTCCATAGGTCCGTCGCGTCGGGGCAGCAGCACTTCGCCAATCCTGCGTCCATGCGCGGCTGCCTCTCACCATTGCCTCTGCCTTGATCGCGGTCTCGGCCTCGGTTCCGAAAATCGCTGTCCACGTCGCCCTCGTCGAGCCGAACTCCACCTGCGGGCTGATACACTGCGCCGTCACCGGCCTCGTTTGCTGGCTGCTGCTTGCCCTTGCCCTTGCCTGCGGGCCGAGGGCCGCTGGAACCGGAAGATCTCATCTTCTGCTCTGTGAGCGCGGTCACCCACCAGCGAGGTATCCGATTCCTTTTGCCGCGGATCTGGAGCCAATGGCTCCGCTGCCAATGTCGGCAGCACTCCTCTGGCACCACCGAGGTTGTCTCACACGAAATGGGGAACCAAACACACAAAATATAAAATGTAAGGGAATCGAAGAGATTCGCGAATAGATTTGATTGACTCAGGGGCCACTCGGCATTTGATCAATGACGGCGCCGGTGCGAGTTCACGTGTGCATCAGCATACGTACATCAAATCACCACAAATCGTACACTCATTGCGTTACTGCAACACCTATCATGATAAGTGAAACTACATTAACGCGGACCCTGTGCCATTAACAGTCTGGGCCTCCTCCCTCCTCGAGCCCAGAGCTTCGAAGATGTCTTAAGCGAAACGGCCCAGGCCACCTCGCGCGCAGCATCTCGGAGCCCCGCGCTGCAAGGACGTCTCGAGCGAAACGGACCAGACAAACTCGCGCACATGTTTTCGGAGCCCCGAGATGCGAGGATGTCTCGGGCGAAACGGGCTGGACCACCTCGCGCGCAGCATGTCGGCGCCCCAGAGGATGAGAATGCTTCGCGGGCCATGCCACCTCGCGCACGACATCTGCGAGCTCGGGGCTGCAAGCATGCCTCCGGCTGCGCCCAGACCCCTCCTGGAGCACGATTCGACGACGGAAGGATAATCAGATGGTTCGTTTGGCGTTTGGGTCTGGCCTCCCCTCCCTCATCCCTTCTCCCTCCTCCCTCCTCCCTCCTCCCTCCTCCCTTCCTCCCTCCTCCCTCCCTCCTCCCTCCTCCCTCCCTCCCTCCTCCCAATCTCCTCCCTCCTCCCTCCTCCCTCCTCCCTCCGCTCCCTCCTCCCTCCTCCCTCCTCACTGTCCGAAGCCGGAGTTTCGAGGATGCTTCGTGCGAAGCGGGCCAGACCATCTCGCGCGCAGCACCTCGCAGCTCCGCAACGCAGGGGCGTCTCAAGCGAAACGGGCCGAAACACCTTGCGCACATGTTCAGTCCTCTAACTGGTCCCGTGGCCCGCTGGTCCTCCGCTTCTCTGGTCCCCCCTCCGGCTCCCTCCGGTCCTCCCGTCCCCTGGACATTCGGTCCTCGGGTCCTCTGGTCCCGTTGATCCTCCAGTCCTCCAGCACGTCGCGTCCGTCCGGTCTGTCGGGCCGTCCGATCCTGATCATCGGGTCCTCGTTCATCTGGTCCTCTGGTCTTCCGGTCCTCCGGTTCTCTGGTCCTCCAATGCTCCTCTGGTCTTCTGGTCCTCGCATCCTCTGGTCCCCAGGTCATCCACTCCCTGGTCCGTCTGGTCCTCTGGTCCTCCGTCTTGCTGGCCCACTCCTGTCCTCTGGTCCGCTGGTCCACGCGGTGCCTGGTCGGACGAACAGCCAACACGTGCACCAGGAGCGGCCCATCCAGAGGCCGTGGGAGGTGAGACTAACGGTGTCCTCGGGAGGCGATGTGAGGACTTCACCCAAGGTCGTGGCGTAAGTGGCAAGGAAGCGCCATCGTCAGTGGGGGGCCGTCAGGGGGCGACGCTCCACGCGCAGGCGAAAGCAAAGAGCGTCGGTGCGCATCGCGCCCCTTCGTCGTGGAGGCAGACCGCGAGTTCCAGCCGACTCGTCCGAGGTTGCAGCAGATGGCAGCCTGGCACCTCCTGGACGCGGAGGGCACGTGGCAAGAAAAGTCCGAGAGGTACGTGGCGGAGATGCTGAAAGGGGAGGCGTGCGCGGCGAACTTCGAAGGGCCGACGGAAGGCAACCGACAGAGAGCGGAGGCGAAGGGCGACCGAAGAATGCCAGGCGGCATGGAGAGCGGGGCACAGAAGCGGAGGGACGGGTGGAGCCGTTTGGCAGCACCTGGGCAGAGCAGACGGCTGCAGGGTGCTCGAGAACTTGCTTGATCCGCGGGTCGAGAGCGAGCCTCTTCCGGTCGAAGCTAAGCGGGCCGCGCACAGCTTTAATTGATAGAGGGGGGAAAAAGAAAGCGGGGCCTCACGTCAAGGCCAAGAGAGGGCAAAGCCCCGGAATCAGGCGGTGCCGAAGACGATGTACTTGCAAGGGAACGCCTTGTACAGAAACCCGGTGGCGAAGTACCGGTGCTCGAGAACATGCAGGCGCGGAGGAGGGTCTCTTCCCGGGCGGCCCGGATGCGAGCAGCTGGCCAGAGGACGCGACGGTGTGCGAGATGGCGCCGATGGAGGCCCTGGCCAGGAACAGGTCCAGGTCCCCCAGGCGGCGGGAAGCCACAGGGGGACAAAAAGTGACATGAACATAAAAATTCGGAGGTCCGCGCGGATTTCTCGGATCGGCGCTGGACACCCCTCCCTGGCGGACCTCCGAGTTTTCATGTTTATGCCACTTTTTGTTCCCCTAAGCCAGTGCCTGGTCGGCGGGTCAACTTGAGGAGGCACTGCAGGCCGAAGCACCTGGGGCAGGCGCCGTGGAGGACGTGCACGAGGACGGGCAGATCTCGTTCTACACCAGCTCCAGCGAGGCTCAGCCGGCAGCCGAGGAGGAGGAAGGCGTGGCCCCAGAGGCTGGGCAGGAGCCAGGCGAGCCGTCAGTGTGGGCGGGTCCTGGGCTGAGCAGCACGACGTCGTCCAGTGGAGAGCCCCACGGGCGGCAGACGGACCTCGGCCAGCAGCAGCCAGGGCATACGCAGGGTGAGGCCTTGGACGGCCGAGGCCAACACACACACACACACTTCAGCGGGGACCCCCCCGACGTCAGCCCAGCCAGCACGCTCACGGGGCCCGCAGCTGGCTTGGCCCTGGCCATGGCAGCCACAGCCGCAGCGTCGGCCAGCGCACAGGCGGATGGGCGAGACGAAGAAGGGGAGGCAGGCCCAGCAGCGCAGTCCCAGTGCCGACGGCAGGAGCGGCAGGAGCGCAAGAGGCCAGCGGCGGCGCTGCGCTGTGCCAGCGGGGCCTGCGCTGCGCCAGCGGGGCCGGGGCGCCCAGGCGGGCCCGCGCCAGGCAGCTGAGAGGTCGAGGCGAAGACGCCAGCGTGGGTCGCAAGTCAGCACCAGCAGGGTGGCCCGAGGGGCGGGGCAGCGAGCTCTGGAGGACGACCCCATCCAGGTGCCCCCTGCAGGTGGCGAGCTGGAGGACGACCCTATCCAGGTGTCCCCAACGATGCGGTGCCAAGAGGCCCCCCCCCCCTGGCGAGCGACGAGGAGAGCAATGCGGGGGCGGCCGCGGGCAGCAGCGGGCAGAGGGCGCCAGCGCGCGCAGCCACGCTGGCCGGGTGCTGCCGACAGTGCCGTGGAAAAGCTCCTCTCAGTGAGGCAAGCCCACGGGTGCATCATCTGCGTGACCTGCGGCGCCCACGGCAGGAGGAAGACGGACGGGCTCGGACGAGCCTGCCCTGGATGGCCAGCGAAACTGGCGGCCATCGAGAAGAAACGCAAGCAAAAGGCGGCCAGCATCCTGGCAGGCCTTCGCCCGACGACGCGGCAGCCTCTCGATTGAGGGTGGCGCCCGACGAGCGCTGGGAGAGCGGCGGCGGTGAGCGGGGGGAGGACCTGGCTCGGGCTTTACTATCGTGATGGTAATAGGATCGCTGTGTGTTGCCTGGCACTCGAAGAAGCGGTGGCGGCTTGGTGCTGCTGGCACTGGTCTCAGCAGGGGCTCCTTAGTGGGCTCCCGCGGGAGCCTACAAGCCGTGCGCCCTCTCGCACTGAGGTGGTGTGTGCGGTCAGCGTGCAAAAATAGGCTGCACCGCGTAAATAACACCACCCCGACTTCCTGGTGCCTCCGACGCCATACATACCTGCACGTCGGCAGCACGAATCAGTGTCAGCTGCCCCTTCCACTCGCCGGTCCGCCGCAGAGTTGCTGCGCGAGGCCCCAGTTCGCCTTTTAGGTGTGGCCGCCCTCCGTTGCTTTAGTGAAATTCGTCGCAGCGCGCCCCGCTTTGACTGGGCTCGCCGCGGGCGCGCTCGCCCGCGGCCGCTGACTAAAAAACAGATAACACCACAATGATTGCACCGCATTGGTTGCACCGCACATATCGCTTTACACAGGTTGCATCGCATACGTTGCATGAAATAGGTCGCACGGCATATACTGCAAACGTACTGTTTGGGAACCACGTTGGCTAACATGTATACATACATACATACATACATACATACATACATACATAAATACAGACATACATACATACATACATACATACATACATACATACACGCATGCATACTGCGCCGATCCGAAAGTTTCCCCAATTTCGCCACCGTGCTCGCCGGGGCCATCTGGGATGGCGCGCGCAGGATAAGACTCGCGGGGCCCGAAGGCGGACAGGGGGCGATGTCGCGAGGGCAGAGTCGGCGCGCCGCTGGGCAGCCCAGCACCCCGTTTGGCCGGAGGGGCCCAGTACAATGCAAGTGCAGAGCCTAATCCCCGCCTGGGGTCGCGGGATCGGGTTCCACTTCCCAATTTTAAATCTTAAATCCCAAACGGTGTACGGCCCCGAAAATGAGCCAACGTCCTAGGACCTCCTCGAAAACAACTTTCGGGTTCGGTCATGCAACGACCCGAAAAGTTTATCGATCTATCTAAAAGTGGCCAAATCCATAGGACGTGCGCCCAAAAAAAATCCGGGTCCACTTCAAACGACTTGAAAATGTGCGAACCACCTAGGACTTGTCACAGAATTAATACAATATAAAAAAATCGATCTCGAGGTCTTCGGGCCGACTCCGAAGAAACCGAACATGGGCAAACCGCCTAAAAAATCCTATGGCAAACGGTTTCTCGGTGGTTCCGGGCCTCGTCCGACGGAGCCACCGATGGGCCGACTGTCGAAGACTTCCTGCACAAGAAACGGTTTCCCGGGCGAGCCACTGTCAAGCGGGAACGCACCCCACGCGGGATCGGGGTTCGCACAGGGGCGCGGCTGCTCGCGTCTGTCCAGGAGGCACGCGCTGCCGCGCTCTTCCAGCAAAGCGTTTGCTCTGCATTCGCGCGGCGC